AGAGTCTGTTCCTTGATCTTCACCAAGCCAAGGCCTTGACGTCCGTCTGCCTCTGTCAGGCTCCTCACGGCCTTGCCTGGCCTTTTTTATTGCAGCAATAACCTAAAACTCTTGTCCTTGTACTCAGAAAACAAGATTTCTTCTCTTTCCCCCCCCAGACCTAGGAGGTCTTTAGCACAGGCCCAGATAGATGTATGAGAAGGAAGCTTGGCAAATGGTTTAAATTAAAAACTATAGCAGTTGTGCCAACTCCTGCAGTATGAGAGTGCCAAGATCCAGAAGATGGCTCTCCACCAGCATTTGGCGAGGCGATGACATCTTGTCACTGCTCTCCTTGAGCACTGAGGCCCACACAGGTACCCCGACCAGTTGGCTGGGGCAGGATGCAAGGCAGTGTGGGAAAGCAGAGGGAGGGCTGCCAAACTTTTCCTAAGGAGAGTCACAGCCACGTTTCTTCAAAATCATCTGCTCCAATGTGCCATTACTCCTGATCGCAAGGAGAATGAAGTCCCCAAAGCTATTCACCAGTTACTCTGATGTGGCACAAGGGCTCAATCTTCCATATTCGGGTATCGCAGTCCACTCTGGTAATAAAGAGTGGATACAGAAACTCCCAACAAAGGAGAAAACTTCCACTAAAGCAGGATCCTGTCATAGAAAGCTGTGAGAGTGCTTTTGGAGCGAAGTGCTGACTGTTGGGAAGGCGCCTAGAGCTGGAAGGGAAAAAAAAAAGCCATAAAAAAAGAAGTCTGTTTTTACATTTAATTCCTCCTGGGTCCAGAGCAGCAGGGTTTTTTATCTTCATTATAAATCAGCTGTACAGCATCTACATAGTGGAATTCGCCACCAGTTTCATCCCTTGATGGGAAGAACCTGCAGGTCGACTATGGCCACCTTTATAGTTAGAAGCATTACCAGGCTGGACGCGTTGGTCAACAGGCTGAGGATCCTTTCGTCGCACTACTTGTTATTCGTCGCTCGGTGCCATTCTGCTCTATTCTTTCACCCACAGGCATGGCCAGGCCTTTTATTTCGGAGGCTGCTGCAGGGCATCAGAGTTTTCTATGCAGAAGATGAAGCAGATGCACTCCACTGATGCTCCTTACCCTGTCTGAAAGGTATTTTCATTGCCAAAAGCTTCCAAGCTCTTCCAGCGTTTCCCCTTTGCCAAATGCACAACTCCTGTGCTACTGTATAGTTCTTGGAAATATTAAAACTGTCTGCACCTTTTATACAGATGGGAGTTCACTGCAGCCTCCTACACAAGCTCAGGTTTGGTGGCATGGCATGGCTTTCTCCTGAGGTGGGTTTAAAGTTTGGCACAAGGCTTGCTGATCACAAAATGATGTTGCCCATTGCCCCAGTATGACATCTGCATATCAAAAATATATTTGAATAAGGAGGTTCAAGAGACAATTATCAGAGCAGCCACTGAAAATAACTAAAATGTCATGTTCCTCTCCAGGCCATGGTCCAAGCTGTATGTCCAGCAACCATTAAAATGGCATTTGTCCATTAGTCTCCAGTGAAAATACAACTGCAGGTACGTTTCCACATAAGAACCCTGACCTTCTGCCATTTCCCAACTCTATGGAAAGTTAAGAGGCTGGAATGAGTTACAGAAGAAAAAGGAAACTTGAATTTTATGTGCAAGTACAAACTTCAACAAAGCAGACTGTTATTGGTATTTTATTTGCTCTATAAAAAAGTCTAGGAATACAAAGAACCTTTTGCTGAATATAAAAATGACATTTCCTTCCAGGTGTCCAGAGAAATACATGTTTATTTAAAAATAAATATAAAACCTGCAAAATAGCTTTATTTGCTTTTGCTAAAAAGCTCTCTCATTATGAAAAGGATGGGGAATAAAGGGTGAACTAGTTTCTCTTTATTTCCAGCTTGCTGCTTTAATTCAATGTTGCATATGAAGCAACAAAAAATAATTCTAAGGAATGTAAAAAGTTCCTATGCCTACAAAAGCCTTAATAATACAACACTGAGCTGAAGAACAATGGCACCAACATGAAAGGATTTTCATTTCTAAGAAATACCTGGATAAATCAGAGTTTAGGAATACATGCATTTTTTCCTCGTAGTTAATGACATGGGTGGCACTTCTCTGTTGCAGAGCCCATTTCCAGCGGCGGAGACATCCCAAAATGCGCTCCCTCCCTGGCAGACCAAGTGGCAGCAGCACAGGACCCTCCAGGTGACCGGGCAGTGACTTGGGTCTGGCTGAAAGAGGAGACTTTGGATTTAATATTATATACTAAATGCAATGCTCCATTTAAGACACTGTTCCTGGCTCATGAGGAGAAACTGCCTTTGCCACTAACCACATTTTCATGTAGTTTGAATAGAGAAAATTCTCCCTTTAAAAAATGGCAAAAGCCATTTCTCCTACCCACAGTTAATTAAGGTACAAACAAAACTGCTTCTTCCCAGGTTCTTTATCACTGCATCTTTTTTAGACTTGTATCCTCCAGGTACATTTTCCCAAATGGCCTCATTTTGGCAGAGGATAAGGTCAGTGCACTCCCAGGTTTCATGTTGCCTATCCCTCCTGCAAACTCACAGGGATATGCAGATGCTCAGCATCCCTGAAAGCTACACTTGCTACACATCTACAGCAAATGTGCAGAGCATGAATATTACAATTACTGGAGAATTAAAAAAAGCAACTGTCTGCACTCAAAGTAAAAATAAAACTGGGAAATTTCAAAATTTCCTGAGGTGCTCTTTTTGATCAATTAGAACTTTGGCTTCATTTCAATTTAGGCATTTGTTTTACAACACAATGCAAAACAAAAACTACATTGTGAATAATACAAAAGCTTTTTTCCAGACAGTAATGCCAGAACATTGCCACTCTTTTTTCTCAAACGTATTTTTTAGCAAGTATGATTTTATGAAGCAGTTAATCTTCAGTGGAGCTGTATTCTCTGATAGAACAGTGGAATTTTTTTTTGTAGTAGAAATTATGTAGTCCTTAATTTTCAAAGTCCTGTAACTCTGAATCTTCACAATTTTTTACAAAAAAATGCAAGGATGCCCCAGTGCAAGTGTCCACTCATGTTAAACCATCTAACTTGATGTTAGATCCAGTCTAGGCTGAATGGTGAAGTTGTATATTTTTCATGTATTTGGGTACTTACGCAAGTTCTGAAATACATATTGGTGTTGATGGAAGAGAAAGCACAATTAAATGCCAGTCTATAAAATCATCACCTCTGTGGAGATGTTGAAAAGGCAAAATTTGCTTGTGTCTCACAGTACAAGAACTGATGGCGTGAAGCAGCGATCAGATAGCAGATTTAAAATGAGAGAGGAAAGCAAAAGGAAGTTTTCCCACAGAAAAAAATAATTAAACTGAGCTCATTGTGAAAAGATGTGGTGGAACCCAAGAGAGTAAAGTACATTAAAAAAGGACTGGATGAACTGATGGAGGAAGGGTCTGATGAATGGCCAAAACGCTGCTCTGACCGCAGGCTCTGGTCAGGAGCTCCCCCAGCCCCATGTGCCACTGAAAACGGGTTTTTCTCACACTCCTCCCCAAACCTTTGGTACTGGCTGCTGTTAGAGGTAGGACGCTCATCGTCTTTGCAACATTCCAGGCAAATCGCAGGGATGCCAAGGTCTATAAACAACGGTATGGATATATGCTCCTAGCTCTGTGTACAGAAGTCTGGGAGCGCATGCTGAACTGTACCCAGGCGGGAATCCAGACCTGCATTCAGATTGAAAAACCTGGCTTCAGAAGTCAGGAAATTAAATGGTAAGTGTCTCACAATAGAGTTTTTTAGGCATCTGCCTCAAAAAGATACTGTGCTAGGTATTTCTTCTTAATATGCATTTTTGTTAATAATCTGTTCAATCTAAACTACAAAATGTGCTGTGCAACATGACTGAACGAATATTGCTGTGAGAAATATTTTCCCCTTGTTTGAGTAATTTAAATTTGTAAGCTAATGTAAGTTTTTGTATTAAATAATGTACTGCGTGCAATTTTCTTTCTTGTAAAGCACTTTGAAGCTTTCAAAGGGCACTCTAGGTTAATAAATAATATGGTGTTCTTTGCCAGAACTGTAGGGCATTTCCCATAAGTTCTGAATCTTCTTTGCCAAAATTGCAACATGTTGCATGCCAAATCCTGCACACAAATGTTCTACATGTGGCAAATACATATTGGTGAAGACCAGAGGCATGGCATTCCT